TATAACATTAAAATCGATTATTTCTTTTTAAGGCATGACAAAGGATCCAGTGGAGAAGAAAAGAAAATGCTACAGAACTTCTGTAATAAAAGTCAACAAGGATTTTCCAAGCGTAAAAGCGTAGAAGTCAGTGCAATTCAAGGTTTCTTGATTCTTATAAAAAAAACAAAGGAATTTGTTCTGGAAGTAACAAATGACCCAAAAAGTACACTTGGTGAATAAACTGATAATCAGGGGACCATATTATCATTATTCATTGAAGATGTGTCTTCAAATTTCAGTAACCCAAAACTTTGTTGACTTAGAAAAATCCTGTTAGTCCAGTGATCATTTTGTGCATAAAGCTTCTTTGATAGCCCAAACTTGAAACATTCATTGCAATAATTTGAATATATTAACAATATTTTTTGATAAACTTGGCAAGAAAACCTACTAATGAAGAAAATTTGTTCAGAAATGAACTGCCTTTTGTGTCCGGTTACTTCTGAATACTTGACAATTGTAGGAGTTTAACGTTGTGTTGATATTTAGAACAAAAAAAATCTCATTGATATAAGTGATATCTTATAAGAAAAGTCCTCGTTACACGATTCGTTAGAGATAACCTATTTAGTTTATGTTTTCGCCGTGATATCTTTGTTTCGTGATGTCTTTGTTGTATGAAGACCGACTTTTAATCTTTATTATGATCAAGCGTCTACTGGCTAGTAATTAATGATTAATTTCTGATAATAATGTGCGACTTTTGAATAGTAGCGTTTTGTTTAATACCACGCACGTCATTGTTTCGCGGTCACTTTTGGTCAAGCAAATGATGTTTATATTAACATATGTTGGCAGCAACAGCTAGATAGCCTTTTGTCAGGAAAGCATTACCAGGAAGTGTCCAGGCTTTCGTGTCTAAGCTATATGGAATTATAGGGATATTGCCTGTATTTAAGATACCGGGAAATATCAATAAGGAAATCTCTTAAAATCAATGTTTATAAATGCACGTCGAGGTAACATACCTCCTTAAGCCAGTGTCACGGAAATTTAAGATATACTTTACGTCAGAGAAAGATATATGTATAAGCCGGTCATATAAACTTGGTGTTATAAGGACTAAACAATTATTAGCAATATTAGCATCTGTTTAAAGCTTTATGTAAGATCTCATTGATACTACCCTGTACTTTAATCGATCCTTTGGAATTGTTAAGTTCTGTTTTGACTGACGTAACTTCTCCATATATTGCTGCCAATGTACCCCAAGTGTATTGCTTGTGGTTCGCTATCGTCTGTTTTAAGCTTCATTTTACAGATTTAAAACTATTTATCAAACAATTTTTAACAGCTTAGTGGCAGGAGAAATGGAATCAATATACCGATAATAAATTGCATTCCGTGGAACGTCTCATTGGTGAAGGATCTCCATGCTATAGAGACAACCACCGAGACAAAGTTGTTTTTGCCCGTCTTCGGATGGGCCATACATACCTTACGCATTCGTGTTGAAAGGCGAAGATAATCCTCGGTGCATAGGATGTGATGAGCCATTCACCGTTAAACATTTTTATTGGACTACTTTGACTTACTGTCTACTCGAGAAATATTATTTTATCGTAACGTTACAAGTCTTATGTCCCCTTTTGAAACTTGATATTTACATCATTCTAGGTTATCAAAAAAGATAATTGTTATAGAATTCGACTTGCCATTTTAATAATATGTGATGATATCACTTTTTAAGATTTTTTACCATTTGTCTTTTATCTTTTAATTTGTTTGACGTGTCTTTCACGGGTTGATGGCCCCAATGGCCATTTATGTGTTGAAAGGCCGTTAAGATTGTAATAATAATAATAATAATTCACCTTTGAGCGATTTTCATTTTTAGTAGGTTAAAAAAAACCTCTATCCAGATTCCGTCTAGTGGCGGCCTTTTAAAATGCTAATTTAGTGTTTCCAGAGAGAATGTTTGACATCGGTTTCTATAAATATGTTAAGATTGTACAAAACACATAAATGAATAACAACTTTTGATACAAAATTAGATTTACAGAAGAGCTAGAAAATAAACTTAATTGCATCACACAGCTGTTTCGTTTATTTATGACACATTAGTCATGCAAGGTCTTTTAGCGAATTTGTCTCGGGGTACTAGTATTTCAAAAGAAAAGGGGCGATCGCGAAAACAGAACAGAATACTTTTCCTTTTGCCTAATAACTAACATAAAATTGGCATAGTTTTAAACTTGTCCTATATATAAAAATTTAATTTAATAATGGGGCTACTGCATTTTACATTTTTCGATAAGTTTGGAGTTTCGACGGTCGCCTTCTATCCTTGAAAAAAATGGTCTTTGTTGTCACTGACGAGTCTTGGAAGGACGAAACATATGTTTGATGCAGTTTAAATCATTAAAGGTACTATCTACTTTTGTGTCTTTTGTGCAATCTCTACATAGGAATACCAGACAATGAAAGAGCAGATCGTGCCGCATAGGCAGCTTTATCGCTACCACCTGTTGTTTTTAAACTTCATTTTACTGATTTAAAACCATTTATTAAACAATTCTTAATAGCTCATTGGCAGGAAGAATAGAAAAAATATACCGGTAATATATTGCATTCTGTAGAACCTATCACTGGTGAATGCCCGTCTTCGGATGGCCATACATACCTTACGTATTTATATATGTTGAAAGGCGAAGATAATCTTCGGTGCATAGGATGTGATGAGTAATTCACCGTTAAACATTTTTATTGGACTGCATTGATCTTCTGTTTATTCGAGAATTATTTATCATAACGTTACAAGTCTAAAGACCCCTTTTGAAACTTTTGAGATTGATAAAATTCTATGTTACCTGAAAGCTGTTTGTCTATATCATAGACTATGACTTACCATCTTAAAATTTTGTTATATAACCATTAAAGATTGTTTAGTATTTGTCTTTTACATTTTAGGTTGTTTATTTTTTTTCCTTTTTGGATTGCTGTGTTTCACCCTAATGAATGACTTCGTCACGGTAATGAAAATCATTATCTATTTCATAGCATGGTATTTGCGTGACAATGAATTAAACTGCATCGTACAGCTATTTCGTTACTTATGCAAAGGGCCTACAATTTGAAGCCTAGGAGCCGAAGTTCCTGTCCGCAACTTTTACATTCAATGTTGAGTATTTGTCCCTATTTGTGAGGTTTGGGAGTCTATTCCCCAGTACAGAATTATAAGAACCTTAATTTTAGTTATAATTGCCGGCTCAAAGCATTTTAAGACTGGTTTGTCCTTTGTAAGCGAGTGTATAATGTGACCGCTGAGTGCCTTCTGTAACAAAACGACATCAGTATCCCAATAGCACAAGCCTAGGAGCCGAAGTTCCTGTCCGCAACTTTTACATTCAAAGTTGAGTATTTGTCCCTATTTGTGAGGTTTGGGAGTCTATTCCCCAGTACAGAATTATAAGAACCTTAATTTTAGTTATAATTGCCGGCTCAAAGCATTTTAAGACTGGTTTGTCCTTTGTAAGCGAGTGTATAATGTGACCGCTGAGTGCCTTCTGTAACAAAACGACATCAGTATCCCAATAGCACAAAGAAGGTAACACCAATATGCACCACAACCTTTTGAGCTTTAGTAACATATTTGGTCCTTCCTTGATGCAAAGTTCCTGATATCTTTTTATGTGAAGACCGATTTTTATCCTTAATTTTCATGCATCTTTTGGCAAAATAAAAACTAATACTTTCTGAAAATATCGTGTGATTTTAATTCAATGTGGTGTCTTTAATGTCAGCTTAAAAGTAAGGTAAAATGAAGTACAGAATTTAGAATCCGTTTCTACTCTTGAAACAAGAAAATATCACCATGTCTACATAATAATAACGCAAACACAATTTCAGTAAAACTATGGACAAATGTGACCAAAAGGGGGATAAACACGGACGTTCCAGCAAAAGGACAAGGAGAATAAGACTACAATATGAAAATGTTTTTAAATGGCAAATAATAGGCCATGCCAATCAAACGGACGAGGGGTATCGGTAAATATTCTTAAAACATCGATGAATATGTAACAGGTATGTAACGCAAGGAAGTCCTGATAAGACACTTCTATAAATACATCAGCACGACTGAAAGCTGTCTGATGCCATAAAATCTCACACAGGTAAAATTTGGTCTTGCATACTCACACATCTCACAATAGAGAAGTGGGGATAACTTTATACCGATTCCACTACGATTTCCATAAAAAGGGACACTGAAAGTAGTAACAACTTAATTTATCAATAAGGGGAGGTAATCTTTAAGTGATGATGTATTAAATTGTTTATTGAAAAGGACATATATTCTATCTGAAGGACTGGTTATTTGGATATGTATCACTTTTAACAATGCGATTATAACTTCCCGAATTTTGAATTATTTTTCTATTATTTGGCAACACAATGTATTTTCCCTGTCAGGCTAAAGCTGTAATATTCATTTCAGCATTTAATATCAAAGATGAAATAAAACAGAAGCGTCTTCCTTGTTGATCGGATGACACAATGAAATAGTTAATTCCTTGAAAGATACACACTAGCATCTCTTTCCACTTTCTCTCCTCTGAACATATATCGCCTTGCATCCAATACTTTGATCTAACTTCGTACCTTCACAATACTCGTTCATATTACAGCCTCCCGAAAACACGTTTACCGCTCACACCTAGGGAAACCGTCACTTAAATGCACATAGCTGAGGTTGAAGACTGTCAACCATGCAGAGAACGATATTCAACGACAGACAATTAAATATTCTCAAAGTGTGATCCTATGCGTGGTTGAAATATATCAGGAGCTGTTAGCCACACAGAGCAAACAAGCTTGACACTTGCCACCGTCGGCACCTACTGAGCAGATTGCATCTGCTGAAGCTATAATTCGTTAGTTAAAAACCGGCCATTGTAGACATCATATTCATAACTTGGTGCAAAAAAGAAATTTTGACAACACAACACATAAACACCATGGACTGGAAGCTGGAATTCATCTTCATCCTCATCAAGTTTACAGGTAAGTTACTATCGGTAATTTTCTAGTGCCTTCTTACTCATACTTTTGTCGAGAATCGAATACTTGAACTAACGCTGTTCATGACTACGATTTGTATCTTTATTACACTATGAAATCAAAATATTGAGCATAAAGTACAAAACATTCAGTTGCTAAACTAAACATTTCAGAATTATACCTGTGTTGTCTCCTTTTCAAATGATTGTTCTTAAGACGCACAAATGACAAGCACCTTTTGATACAAATTAAGATAAGGTACAGTATAACCAAACAACAAATCGAACCGCATCATACAGCTGTTTTGTCCTTCTAGGACTTGTTAGTGTTGCTGAGGACCTAAAAGTTATCCCTAGGAGCCGACTTTGGAAAATACAATATGATCGGGAATAAATGTCATTATTCGAGAGGTGAACTAAGCCTTTAATTCAGTAAATTTCCTTTATATGATGACTTTAGAAGAACGTGTATATTCTTAATTTAAAAAGGGTGACATTCAGAGTACAGTATACCTTTGGGACTAATAGCAATAGCAAAGCAACTCGGGTGTGTTTATGATTATCGCTGAAAAAACACAAACAATTAGTCCATAGATCGCAGAGATACATATCAACCGGGTATATAATCTTCTTTATATGGGTCCAAGATGATTGTATTCCAGTTCGCAACTTTGGGGTTCTGCTTCCAGAAGCAAAAAAATGCATTTTTTGATAGGAAATCGGTTTCAAATTCCAAATGGTCAGTGTCGAATATGAAATAAATTTTGATACCGATTGACAGTTCATGATATTTCTAATATCATCATGATAAGGTATTCTTTTTCAATTCAGTGAGATGGTCTTGTCAATATTTTTTAGTTTAGAAACATTGGTATTTTACTTAACATTAATTTAATAATGTAGTTTTGAATTGATTACGAGTTTCGTCTTTGTCAACTCAAAAACAAACATTATCTAAGTTAAGGATGTAGAGGTGTTGAAATATAAGGATGGTCAATATCTCTCTATTGACTGGTGACTTGAAAAAATGAGTGTATTTTAGCACATCTACCTGTGTTTCTCACAAGATATCATCAGACCACTTCAATTAACCGATGTTCACTTGTTATTTAATTGATATCAATACATATATTGATTTTTTAACAAAAGATCTTATTTCAGAGATGTGAAGTAAGGTTCGATGTACTTAATGTCAATATTTTAGATACATAGAATTTTTAAGTGGCACTTTCGATAGCTTGACATCAGGGCAAAGTTACTTTCAAATTCCCTGTATCATCGATCCTATCGAATGCATTTTATATCAAAGGCGCCATTGAATGTGAAGCCAATTCTCATATCTTCTCATTTCTTTCTGATTGCATTTAAAGTTTCCTATTTTTATTTTTAAAATGTTTCTTGATAAAGAATACTGGAGAGTAATTAATTGGTATTGTGTTAAAAGCGACATATACCAAGTATTTTTGTATTTGTCATATTTATATATTCAGTGTGAACCCCGATTCTGCATCTGCTGAAGCTATAATTCGTTAGTTAAAAACCGGCCATTGTAGACATCATATTCATAACTTGGTGCAAAAAAGAAATTTTGAGAACACAACGCCTTTCGGGCAGGTGAGCTTAAAAAAACGGAGAATTCAGTGGGCTGTTTAGGGCGAACATAGACACAGGAATATGTATAAATAGCTGGAAGAATACATTCAATGAATAATATTTACAACCGAAACATTATAATATATCTTTAATTCATTAATTCATCAATTGCTCTTGCTCTAAATTTGGATTGGAAGGTGTCATTCACTAGTGTATTTTTCAAAATTATTGTCTACAGATTTGCCCTAAATTGCATACCACGTTACAGTTTTACACAATGTTTTACTGAAATTGTCAGACATAAGAAAATTCCAAGATTCCCCAATCATCAGGTACGTGCACATTCCTATCTATATTTTTTCAACTTTTATTTTCTTAATTACCTTTTCAAAAATTTATCATCACTGAAGAATCCAAGAATGACCCATCACTAACTCTAAATATTTGAAAGAGTCTATTCTCTCTATTTTGTATAAAATTTAGATGTGAAATCTAACTCAATAATAGAGACAACCATTACTTTCAATTGCACAATTGCGACAAATAACAAGAGCATCGCAGGGCGGAACGATATACGTCCCTTATATGCCAATAAAAATATCTCAGAGAATGCATCTCATAATTGGAAACCTGCCAAATTGTAAAGTAATATGGGGAAAACTTAGGGAGAGGATGTCAAGACAGGAAACTGAAACAAAGTTCCAAAAAAGAAAGTTGATAACACATATCTAATCAAGAAAGATTGATAAATAAACTGCGTGAAGAAATCGGTTGACAAGATTTAAATGCACATTTTCTTCTCAGAGAAATTAACCCGAACGAATTTGAAAAATAGAATCCTTCATCTTACGGCGATTAAGCCTAAGATAAGTGATCTCTGAACAAGTATAAGAAAACCAGATATAAGGGCATATCATAATACGTCCCATCCAAACTTTCTGCCAGAAGTATAAAAAGGTACAACCAAAACTATTTACGTGTATAATAGTGTACAGATGTGTTACGAACTGATAACATAGGAAGTGTAATTTTGTAGTTGAGTTAAATTGTGATTTCTTGATTTTCAGTGTCACTTGGAGATGTATTAGACAACCGAGGCTATGAGTTTATTATTGCTTTTATGGAAAACCGTCCTTATCCAAAAAATATGGAATTGTTTGTGGCAACATTCAGTGGTGACATTGTGAATGTTACAGTGAGCACTCCAAAATATTATGGAAAGTATTCCGTTCATCGGCAGTTTCAGTTGTCTAGAGGAAGAGCCGAGCATGTATCAATAAATACGAAATTGCAAATGTTTGGATCTACGCTATCTCCTAAAGGCATCTTAATACAGGCAACGGACGAGATCATCGTGTACGGAGTCAATAGACGAGCAGATAGTGTCGATGCTTTCCTGGGGTTGCCGACAGACGTTCTCGGTGGAGAATATTATGCAGTATCTTTTCTACCAACAGAGAAACGTTCTCATTCGAAGCACTACGCACAATTGCTGGTGGTTGCTAACTTTGAAGACACACAGGTTCAAATTACTTTTCCAGAAAGCGATGATTTCAGCAATGTCACGTTTGACGGGAACGAATATGATGGAGGAGAAACACTTGCGATTACAATGAATAGGTGTGAAGCACTACAATTGCAAATAAACGGGTACGGTGACATGACCGGAGCATATTTGCAATCAGATAAACCTGTGGCATTTTTTAGCGGAAATGCTAGAACTGTCGTTGGTAATGGTTACACCAGCGACCATTTGGTTGAGCAACTGATATCAACGGACAGATGGGGAAAACAGTTTGTGGTTGTTCCAGTACCTGGTAGAGATGTTGGAGATTATCTCAAGGTAGTCGGATATATCGGATCTACCGAAATTGACATAAAATGTATTAGCAATAATCCAATCAATACCTCTGTGAGAATTGTCTTAGCTAAAGCAGGAAGCTATCAACTTTTAGAGATGGAACCGAGATCATATTGTTATATCGTTTCCAACAACAGCATTTTCGTCGTGTATATCGTGAAAAGTCGGCAGCAAAATGATTTTCATGATCCGTCTATGATTATGATTCCACCCATGGAACAATACGCACCAGAATACGTATTTACTACCATAAGGCTTGTGAACGGCATGTACAAGAATTACTTCCTCTTTGTGGTAGAGCAAGAAAATAAAGACGGACTTCGACTTGATGGAATGCCTTTTCCAGCTGATACAGACTACGTCAGCATACCTAACACCACACTCGTGGCGGGATATGTGATGGTCGGAGAAGGATTCCATAGATTCTACCATATGTCACCAATATCTGTATTCGGTGGCATTTTGTATGGTCAGTACTCTTTTGAGAGCTACGGGTTGCCAGTGGGGCTGAGGATGGCCGAAATTAATAAGGTAGTTTACTATATAGTAATTTGTACGTGTAGTGAATTGTTGTTTCTTGTTTCTTGTTTGTTTTTATTTTTTTTCCATTTCAGAATATTTCATTGTCATGATTTCCCCTACGGATATTGGTTAGAATATATCCGCTGTGTCCTACTGCATGTGGTAAAAGTCCACTAAAAGGGACAACCTATCTGCCGTGGGTTGCGTCCCGTTAGTACTGGGAGAAAGGATCCTGGTGGTTGAGGGGCGGTAATGTGGTTTGCGCTTTATTCTCAAGCAAACTCGCATGACCTTCCCCCAATACATCACTTTGGCATCTATCTCAGTATGGCGGGTGATGATCATTGTAATCCTCATTGATCAATCGGCTGGTCATGCCCATGGTCATGTCTATGTCCTTAGTGTTACATGTTTTCCTTTTTTTTTTTATCTCACTCAGCCGTATACCCATCTATTTTTGTAGTTTTTATTTTACAGTTGTATCCCATAAAGCGTTGTCTTAAGGGTCAATCAAGAGAGTTTTATTCTTCCGAATATACTACCTGTGTATCCTTGGTACTCGTGTACCGGAGACCCGCACCGTTAGTAGTGTCCCCTTGTTGGGCTCTGAGGTGGGTGAGAAGAACGGGTAATGAAAACCTAAACATCAAACTATTGGCACTAAAAACCAAAATAAAAGACCTTGTCCTTCATCATCAGGTTCAGAAGATGACCATGACAGACATCGAAATATGATTGTTGGATAAGGATAAACCAATGTCATCCGTTTCACCTTTTGATAAAGAAAAAACAATCCTGTCAACATGCCGTATTTCAAACTGTGGCCTAGCGAACTCCAACAGGCCAATAGACATAGCCTTTTTTTACATATCTATACACATTGTCCCTCATTTCTCCCTGAACACATCAAAAGGCGTTATACGCTGTCCATCTCTTAAGGGAAAGAGCGAAGAGAACATCCTCAGTTACTTCAAATACAAACAAGAGAAGGACAACCATGTTAAACGGATAAGGGTGAAGCGAGATGGCATCATCGCCGATGCCAACACTTTCGTGCTTACTTTTAAAACTCCAATCTTTCCAAATCATTCAAAGCTGTCTTCGAGAGTGTTTGCGTGGATGTATACATCCCAAATCCACTTCGATGCTTCGGTTGCCAAAAATGTGGTCATCATTCTGATAACTGTAAACAGAAAGATTGTGCTAAATGTGGAGCCTACGAAGATGAATAGGCAGATGGCGCATGGATGGTAAGGCTCACTGTGCTAACTGTGGTGGAAGACATCCAGCATATTCCAGAGACTGTTTTGCTTGGCGCAAGGAAGAAGAGTCAATTCAAGAACACAAACAACATTGCTTTCCCCAAGACAAGGACGATTGCTGAAATGCCTGTGCCGGGTCCATCCTATGCCAGTCGTGCAGTTGGTATTACGACCGTGGAGGTCCGAAATGCTGCTACAAAGACATGCGATTCAGATACAGAGACTGACATGGCATGCTGCATCAAAGCTTTCTTCAAGACAGTCATTGCGACCACCACCATCGCCATCAAAACAGAATCAGAACCCTCAATCCCCATCAACAAACTCCCAGGACTCAAAAAGTGAAAAATCAGCCAAAGCAGAAAATTCAAATTTCCTCAGATTGAAGGAAAAAAGGGTCTAACGACTCAATTCACATCTTCAACAAATTCGGCTCTCTGGAGGATATAGAGTACCAGGTAGCTACTTCCAAATCCTCCCAGATCTCTTTTAAATCTGTCAAGCCGCCTTTAGCTAAACAAGTAGTCAAGCTTATAATCACTAATCCCTCACTTATTTATGTTAGCAATAACTGAGAAAATAATCCAATGGAATTGTAGTGGTCTTCGATCCATTATTGATGAAAGTCTTCGACTGTCTCAAGGACATAACCTTAGTGTAATCTGTCTCCACGAAACGCTTACCAGAGCTGAGACAAATATCAATTTCAGAAATTATTCACTGTGTAATTGCTTCGGTCCTGTTAGCAACAAAGCGACCGGTGGAGCTGCTATCCTGGTTAACAACACCAGTTCATCACACTCCAGGCAACTTCTGTTAGTGTAACGCTCCATAGAACGCTTACAGTATGCTCTATCTATCTCCCTCCAAACTCTGATTTCACGAAAAACCAACTAGACGAGCTCCTATCGCAACTGCCTCCCCGTTCATACTTTTGGGTCATAACAACTTTTGAGGTTTACTAATGACTACACTATACACTAATGATAGAGGAACAAAAATTGAAAAAAAATTATATTGGAAAATAACCTTTGTCTTTACAGTCATAAATCTCCAACTTATTGGTATCCATTTTCTGGAACATTCTTGCACCTTGATTTAACTTGACGTCATCCATCATTGTTACTCGATTTCGAATGGACGGTGCATGACGATCTCTGTGGAAGCGACCAATTTCCAATCATGTACTCCATTGAATGGCAAATTGAATTAAATGTGAACATCTCAGTACCAAAAACGCCATTAATTTCCTGAATTTAAAAGACCCGATAGAATCCTCTATTACAGAACTTCTTGAGATAGCCAAAGAATGTATACTAAAGTCCAATACCAAAAAACCTTGGGTTAATGAAGATTTTGATAAAGCTGTTCGAAATAGGAAAGCCGATTTGAATCAATTCAAAAACAATCCCACAAGCATATGAATGCCATCCAAAGACAACTGTAAAAATGTTTGAATCGACTACAGATTTGGGCAGATGAAACTGGATTGATATTTTCACAATCGGAAACAGTTTGTGGGCATTTTTGTCAAATTCGGAAATAACCCGAAGACCCAAGTCTGTCTCTCTTTGGTGTACCCACTGTTGAGATTGATAAAACTCTAGGTTGTCTGAAAGATGATGGTCTGTACTACAGACTATGACTTACTTGTACTCCTTCAATTGTAAATAAGATCGATCTCCCAATAAGAAGTTACAATGACTTATTGATGGATTCTAGCTGTGAAATTATTTTTAAAAAGTGCAGTATTGTAGATTGACAGACGCTAATGAATAAAGATAAAACCAGAAAATGACAAGACACTGAATTTTTATTGTATATTTCCTAGCCATGTAAAGTCACAGTCACTGAGTTAGGAGACGGGGTGGATAACGACTGTGATGGTTTGATCGACGAAGAGTTATGTACTGGTGCAAACACAGGAAAAGGTAATACATGACAAGGTGTTCTTTAGATAGAAAATTGGCAATTTATAAAACACATGGAAAGGTATGTAGTTTAGATAGAGAATTGGTAATTTATAAGCCATTAGACAAGGGGACAGATAGTGTTGGCCTCAGCTACTCAATTATTAACATGGTACAGGAACGTCTAACATGTTGTGTTCTAGCTTTTTGATTACCTGATATAATTAATTAAATGATATAAAAATAGCACTTGTACCAACATGTTCTTAATCTACTTCCCTTGAAATATTAAGTATGTCTTCCCCTTGGGTGAGCAATTATACAAGGATATATGCTTGTGTACACTTGTAATACAAACGGTTCTTTGTTCTTTGGTAGAAAACAAGAATACGTCTATGTATCTATATTTAGTGCTAATTGGATCTTTCCATTAAGAGAGCAGAAACAGGATTCTTTATATATATATATCATGTTTATACAAAATGGAAATAAAAACACATCTTGTTACTAAATCTGATGATATGTAACTTTTCAAAATCCCATTTGACGTTTTCCATCTTCAGTTTTAATGTTAATTTTAATCTGACAAATTTATATAATGTGATATTAGTATAGGTTTTAATGTTAACATTTTCTTTTAATTATCTCTATCACAGACGAGGATGGCGATGGTAAGATGGACGAAGACTGCGCCAAAGCCTTGGTTGGTTCGTAAAATTATGTACCTTTTATCAGCAAGGAAGTGTCATTACCCTATTTCCATTTTGTCTTATATTAATATATGCGGTTGTCATGAAACAACAGTAATCTTTGCCATTGGCCTGAAACCACTCACACACTGATTGGATTTGTCTTTGTGTCTGCAATCACCCACACATTGATTGAGTTGTGTCTAGAATCACTCGCACATTGACCCAATATTTTTGTCTAGAACCATTTACACATTGAGTCTTAACATTTATGTCTAAAACCGCCCACATATTGAGTCAATATATTTGTGAGTAGAATCACCCAGACATTGGGTCATTACACGTGTTTAGAATCACCAGCACATTGAGTCATTGCTCGTGTGTTTAGAATCACCCGCACATTGACTTATTACACGTGTGTTTAGAATCACACACACATTGAGTCATTACACATGTGTTTAGAATCACCCGCATATTGAATCATTACACTTGTGTTTAGAATCACCCACACATTGAGTCATTACACTTGTGTTTAGAATCACCCACACATTGAGTCATTATACTTGTGTTTAGAATCACCCACACATTGAGTCATTACACATGTGTTTAGAATCACCCGCATATTGAATCATTACACTTGTGTTTAGAATCACCCGCACATTGAGTTATTACACATGTGTTTAGAATCACCCACACATTGAGTCATTACACGTGTGTTTAGAATCACCCACACATTGAGTCATTACACGTGTGTTTAGAATCACCCACACAATGAGTCATTACACATGTGTTTAGAATCACCCGCACATTGAGTCATTACACGTGTGTTTAGAATCACCCACACATTGAGTTATCACACCTGTGTACATTACCTGTCAATCCTTTGCATTTAGTAGTTGTATGTGTCTAGAATCTCATAAAAATATACATTTCAACACATAGTATATGTATACATAACCATATCCCCTTACATAATAAAAGTATGCAGGTTTAAGTAAGGGGCCCACAAGGTCTATCAGACACTTTTGTTGATATCTTTTCTAATAATATAAAAGAATTCAAGCTATTGGCGCGATATATGATGTTTCTTAATATTATCACAATAAATAGTCATAAAAAAACGGAGTCATAATAGGGTAATTCAGAGCAGTTGGTTTCAGTTTAAAAACTTAATAAGTATAATGGCCATATCAAATATATATTTACATTCAGATTTCGCCCGATGATTCATGATTGGTGCGATTATTTACTCGATTAATGATCACTTGATCGATAAGGAAGCCTTATAACTGTTTCAAAAACCGGATATTTTCTATGTTAGAATATTTGTGTTATTCCTTCTGAAATGGGGCATCACACAAATCTACTCATATCTAAATTATTAAAACGAGAAACTGTTTACATAATCATTATCTGTACCTAGTGTTACAACACTTCGGTATCTTATCATACATTATCTGTACCTAGTGACACTTCAGTATCTTATCATACATTATCTGTACCTAGTGTTACAACACTTCAGTATCTTATCATACATTATCTGTACCTAGTGTTACAACACTTCAGTATCTTATCATACATTATCTGTACCTAGTGTTACAACACTTCAGTATCTTATCATACATTATCTGTACCTAGTGTTACAACACTTCAGTATCTTATCATACATTATCTGTACCTAGTGTTACAACACTTCAGTATCTTATCATACATTATCTGTACATAGTGACACTTCAGTATCTTATCATACATTATCTGTACATAGTGACACTTCAGTATCTCATCATACATTATCTGTACCTAATGTTACGACACTTCAGTATCTTATCATACATTATCTGTACCTAGTGACACTTCAGTATCTTATCATACATTATCTGTACCTAGTGACACTTCAGTATCTTATCATACATTATCTGTACCTAGTGTTACAACACTTCAGTATCTTATCATACATTATCTGTACCTAGTGTTACAACACTTCAGTATCTTATCATACATTATCTGTACCTAGTGTTACAACACTTCAGTATCTTATCATACATTATCTGTACCTAGTGTTACAACACTTCAGTATCTTATCATACATTATCTGTACCTAGTGTTACAACACTTCAGTATCTTATCATACATTATCTGTACCTAGTGTTACAACACTTCAGTATCTTATCATACATTATCTGTACATAGTGACACTTCAGTATCTTATCATACATTATCTGTACATAGTGACACTTCAGTATCTCATCATACATTATCTGTACCTAATGTTACGACACTTCAGTATCTTATCATACATTATCTGTACATAGTGACACTTCAGTATCTTATCATACATTATCTGTACCTAGTGACACTTCAGTATCTTATCATACATTATCTGTACCTAGTGTTACAACACTTCAGTATCTTATCATACATTATCTGTACACAGTGACACTTCAGTATCTTATCATACATTATCTGTACATAGTGACACTTCAGTATCTTATCATACATTATCTGTACCTAATGTTACGACACTTCAGTATCTTATCATACATTATCTGTACCTAGTGACACTTCAGTATCTTATCATACATTATCTGTACCTAGTGTTACAACACTTCAGTATCTTATCATACATTATCTGTACCTAGTGACACTTCGGTATCGTATCATACATTATCTGTACCTAGTGTTACAACACTTCAGTATCTTATCACACATTATCTGTACCTAGTGTTACAACACTTCAGTATCTTAT